TCTCTGCGGGTCTATGGCACAAATTTCTCCAAGAAGAGAATGGAGAACTTGTGCCATGTATATGGTGCAGCACCGGCCGGCCTGCTCTGCTCATAGGCATCCCAGCAACTGAAGGTTGCCCCTACAGCTCAGAAGTAGTAAATGAGACCCTGCTAGTCTCCAAAATACCCATCGTGCGAAGATTTTACTGGCACCTATCCAAGAGTTCTGAGCATCCTCTGACTCGATCCCACTGAATGATGGAGGCCTGAGCCTCCCAAACCTCTCTAGCCTCTTCTACTCCTCGTCACTCATCAGAGGACCCACCTAGGCCTGAGCGACTGCAACCGACTAGGCTGGTAGTACCCCCTGATGTCTGAAGTCCCTGCACCACCTGCTCTAGATTACGGGCGGCGGGAGTCTGTGCACCTCCCCTGCCCTTAGAAGCGGCTGGCCTGGCCGAAACTCATGCCGCTTGATCAAGGCTAGTGAAAACAGTCAATATCTGGGCCAAAGCCCCCTGAAGGCCTAGAATCACAATGGGCACACCTGGTGCCTGAGCTGGTCCCACCGACTCAACCACATCTGGAATCTGCTCCTGCGCTGGAGAACCTGGCTGATCTACAGATGCTGCTCTAGCTGCGGTACGAGCTGGACCTCGGCCTTTGTCGCGGCCCCGGCTTCTCGTGGCCCTCTAGTGGTACTAGTGGTCGTCCACCCGGTCCGGTAGCACGTGTTCTCACCATCTGTCAGAGAATAGAATAACAGAAGTTTACTTTCCGGAATCAACAAATTTGCACGACAAGATTACAAGAATGCAAAGTTTTCTTAAGGATTCGGCAGCCTCTCAAAGATAAGTACAGACGTCTCCATACTAATCCGCAAGACTCTGCTAAACCTGCTCATGACTTGTGAGACCTAAGTAACCTAGGCTCTGATACCAACTTGTCATAACCCAAAACACATATGCCATGTGGTGCCTATCGCGATACTAGGAAAGCCAGCAACTCACAAATAACAGGCTTCTTTAATTAAAAACATACTGAAATAGGCTTAAATAATAAATATCTCATAATAATTGGAAGAAAACACCGTAACTTAATATAAAATTCCCCAAAATTCGGGTGTCACTGAGTACATGAACATCTAAAAAATAACATGATCTGACTAGTGAAACACTATCTAGTAAGGTAGAACAGTATAAATAAAACTAAAAGAAAAAGGAGGAGAGTCAAGGTCTGTGGACGCTAAGGCAGCTATCTCAATAGTCTCCGAACTGAATAAGCTCCCAACACTAGCAACCTCCGTGCCAAGAAGTACCTGGATCTGCACACAAAGTGTAGAGTGTAGTATGAGTACAACGGACCAATGTACTCATTAAGTAACAAGACTAACCTTGGGCTGAAAGCAGTGACGAGCTCAAACAAAGGTATAGTCCAAATCCAAAATTCAATGGTATAGATATGACAGGAACTATGACAGGAAATATGACAGTAATATCTCAGAGAAGCTCAAAATCAGGTGGTACACAGTACAGGGGTATACACATGCTTCAACTTCAACACAGATGAAATATGCCAAGTATGACTGATATGAGCAATGTCACATCTCTATATCTACATGTCAAATATACTTGTCACATTTAATCCATCATAATGATAACCTCACGTACTTCCACTTTTAAAGTACTCAGTCCGACTGTATCAACTCTCACTCATCACAAACAGTCACTCAGTGTTGTACGGTACCTGCGCTCACTACTGGTATGTTAGACTCCAAATGGGAGGATCTTGCCCAAGCGCTAATATAAAGCCAATCTGACTTGCTGCGGCTTGCAGCCCAATCCCATAATAATAAAGCCTAAAAGGAATGCTACGATGTGCAACCCGATCCATATAATAATAATATATATATAAAGCCAAGAAGGCTTGCTGCGGCGTGTAGCCCAATCCACAACATCTCTCACATCACAGCTCTCAAGCCCCAACTTAGTCATCTGTCTCTCTAGTCTCTAAGGCTCTCAAATCTAATGCCAAATCAGCCCAAACAATGGTATATTATACGGCAATAAATAGTAACAGAGATTAAGATATGATATGCAATGATGGATATGATTGAGTACAAAATATCCACTTAAGCAAATAATTCAACAGCAGAAAGGACCCAATGGTCTCAACATGATAAACATAGCTTAAACATGTTTTCTAGCATGAATTGTAGCTCGATTACTCTAACACACTGGGGTCACATGAATAGCTATAAGGTTTGATGACTACACAGTACCAAGGAATCGAATGGGTCACAATTACTACAGTGAACGCCCACATGCCCGTCACCTAGTATGCGTGTCACCTCAACACCAACCACATAACACGTATTTCAAGGATTCATACCCCAAGAACCAAGTTTAGAAGTGTTACTAGAAGTGTTACTTACCTCAAACTGTGCAAATCTCTACTCCAATAAGCCCTTGCCTCGCGAATCGGCCCCAAACGCCTCGAATCTAGCCACGAACAACTCGATATAATCAACACAAGCTATAGGAATCAATTCTATATGATAATGCTAAGTTCTTTAATACAAGTCAAAAATTCAACCACGTCTGAGAATTCACCAAAAGTTACAAAATCCGAACGCCCATTCAACCATGAGCCCCATCATACTAGAATTACCAAATTGCAACTCCAAATCGTCATTCAAATCTCTAAATCTTACTCTCCAATCCCTAATCCAAAACTCCCAAATTCCACCTTAAAAATACATAATCTTGGTAGGAAATTCAATCGGTATTCAATATTTATGAATAAACTTAATCAAAAGTGACTTACCTCTTGAAATCTAGTAAAATCCCTTTAAAAATTGTCTTAACCCGAGCTCCTAAGGTCCGAAAATGAATAAAATCTCGGAACTCTTTGAATATATACACTGCCCAGGCATTTCGCTTCTGCGGCCAAAAATTCTCATCTGTGGAACCGCTTTTGCAGTGGAAACTCCGCACTTGCGAAATTCACTTAAGCCCTCCTACTCAGCACCTGCGCTCCCAATTCTGTATCTGCGGAAGCGCTTCTGCGCCCAATCGCCCGCTTCTGCGAAGATAGCCCCTCTTACCGAAATCTGCATCTGCGGAGACTCTGTTGCATCGCGGGCTCGTAGATGTGGAAATTCCATTGCACATGGGACCATTGCCCAACACACGCTGGACCGCACCTACGACTCCCTTAGGTGCTTTTGCGGCCCCGCACCTGCGGCCAAAACCTCGCAGGTGCGGTTACACCAGAACAGCCTACAGCAATTACACAAAGTCCAATTCCCAATCTGATTTCCATTCTAATCCCCCCGAGGCCCTCGGGACCCCGTCCAACACACCAGCACATCCTAAACACATGATACGAACTTAGTCGAGGCCTCAAATCATATCAAACAACATCAAAACAGGAATCATACCCCAATTCAAGCCTATTGAAACTAATGAACTTCCAACTTCTACAATTGATGTCGAAACCTATCAAATCAACTCCGATTGACCTCAAATTTTGCACAAAAGTAATAAATGATACAATGAACCAATTACAACTTCCGAAACCAAAACCCAAGCCTGGTAACTACAAAGTCGACCCTCGATAAAACCTCCTGACTCTCCAAACTTCAATTCTTCCAACTTTCACCAATTCAAGCCTAAATCATCTTCGGACCTCCAAATCAATATCCGGACACACTCCTAAGTCCAAAATCACCCTACGGAGCTATCGGAACCATCAAAACTCTTTTCTGGAGTCATTTACATATAAGTCAACATCCGGTCAACTCTTTCAACTTAAGCTTCCAACCTAGGGACTAAGTGTCCCAATTCATTATGAAATATCCCCGGAACCAAACCAACCACCCCGGCAAGTCACATAACAAGAATGATCATAAAAGAAGCAATAAAAGGGGGAACGGGGCCATAACACTCAAAACGACCGGCCGGATCGTTACATAGTGCCCCAAAGAAAAGTTTCAAGACTCTCCAAATACAACTTAGGATTGAAGATGGTGATGTTACAACATACATGGTTTCAATTTTGATCTTCATATCTTTTCTGATCGAAGAGTTGATGCACATTGCACATAGGTTATCTTCCTCTTAGTTAGGATGAACGTGCGATTCAGTGTCGCTGAAGATTAATTTAAGAGATACTTGCCATCAGAATCTTGACTTCCAGTAGTAGTACTTGATGCACTTCATGCGTTAATTCATTGCAAAGTTTCTTCTAGCAAATTTCAAAAGCACTCTCAATATAGTGAAAACTTTACTCTCAGAGGTGGAACTAAACTTTTTTTAGGTGCTAAATATTTGTTGGAAGGCGTGGTTTTCAGAAAATAAGTTGCACCTTTTCCATTTTTTTAAAACCTTTTTTTAAATTTTTTGTGGAGAACCACCAGTAGAGAAAGGACATTGAATTAAGAGTATGGTGAGAATTTAATCTTACACCAAAAAGTACTTACCTAGAAACAACACTACACTAAAGTTTATAACATACAAATTATATTGGTGAGAAGGTACTTTTTGGATTATATATATATATATATATATATATATATATATATATATATATATATATATATATATATATATATATATATATCTGTGATATTTTCATTTTCTTTAATGTCTTCCATGTAACACATAGCTAGTGTACAGTGAGTTGATAATTCTGACAATGCTGGAAGTTCTCCCCACACATAGAGTGGGGTTCATTTGCACTTCTCCCTCTCAGATTGTGTATCCACACAGAAATAGAAAGAAATATACATTAAAAGAAAAAAAGGAAAAGAAAGACCACCTTGCATGGAAGTACAAGTGAGAATTTATGAGATCCACCAGCAATGAAACTAAAGGTCGATCCTCTACCTCAACTAAACTCTCGCCACAGCAATAAATTTCGACCTATAAAGACAGCCTTAAAAGCCCCATAACACTAAATTACTAAAATCTATCCTTGTCCAATTCATTTACGTTTATTTATTTATAGTAACTTATTTCCAGTCAATTATTGGATCTAAGCACCCTTTATCCATCTGTATGACTGTATCAGGATCATGCTCACTCATGCCAAATCTATCCCCATTCCTCATCAGTATTAAAGCAAAAACCTCTCAACTTACATTGCACTACTCAATCTGGCAACGTACCAGAACCAGAGCTTGTAGAAGAAAGAGACAGCTCTATATAGTAGTAACATAGATATATGGATCAATTGAAACCAAGCTCTGTAAATTCATGTCCACTTACTCCATTAACATTTTTGGAAAGAGCTGCTATTGCTTATGGGGAAAGTACTTCTATTGTCTATAACTCCACTACTTACACTTGGTCCGAAACATTTGCCCGATGCCTACGCGTCGCTTCCTCAATTTCTTCCCTCATTGGCATAAAAAAAGGCCAAGTTGTTTCTGTTTTGGCTCCAAATATCCCACAAACACTCGAGCTTCAATTCGCTGTCCCAATGGCTGGTGCTGTCCTAAACAACATCAACACTCGCCTCGACGCCAAGACCACCTCTGTTCTGCTCCAACATAGTGAATCCAAGCTTCTCTTTGTTGATTACCAACTATATTCTTTGGCACTTGATTCAATTTCATTGTTCCCATCTAACGTGAACCCTCCAATTCTAGTCCTTATAGAAGATGAAAACTCCGTTTCATTTTCAAGAATCTTGAATTTTCATGAATGTACTTATGAGTCAATGGTGGTGAAGGGGGATTCCAACTTCATTTGGGTTCGGCCTGAAAATGATTGGGACCCCATGACATTGAACTACACTTCTGGTACAACATCTTCGCCCAAAGGAGTGGTACATTCTCATCGATCTCTTTTTATTATCACTGTTGATTCTTTAATCGATTGGTACGTACCAAGTCAGCCAGTTTATCTATGGACACTGCCAATGTTCCATTCCAATGGATGGAGTTACACATGGGGTATGGCTGTAGTTGGTGGGACCAACATTTGTCTTCGAAAATTTGACGCTAATGTTGTGTTTCATGCCATAAATAAACACAATGTCACACATATGTGCGGTGCACCCGTGGTACTTACCATGTTAGCCAATTCACCTTGTGCTAAGCCCTTAAAAAATCCAGTACACTTTCGTACTGGTGGCGCTCCTCCCCCTGCCACGGTAGTTCTCCAAGTTGAATCGTTGGGATTCGTCGTGAATCACGGGTATGGGATGACGGAGGTGGCAGGGGTGGTTGTGTCATGTATTTGGAAGCCCAAGTGGAACAAATTAAACGCAAATATGAAGGCAAAATTGAAGTCGAGACAAGGAATTAGGAGCTTAGGAATGACAGAAGTGGACGTAGTGGATCCAGAATCTGGAGTGAGTGTGAAGAGAGATGGATTAACAATGGGGGAAATTGTATTAAGGGGTGGATGCATAATGTTGGGTTATTTAAAAAATCAAGAAGCTACCTCAAAATGCATGAAAAATGACTGGCTTTATACAGGGGATGTAGCAGTAATGCACCCTGATGGGTACTTAGAAATTAAGGACAGGTCAAAAGATATTATTATTAGTGGAGGTGAGAATGTGAGCAGCGTGGAAGTAGAATCAGTGCTTTATTCGAACACTTATGTCAATGAGGCAGCAGTTGTGGCAAGGCCAGATGAACTTTGGGGTGAAACGCCTTGTGCTTTTTTGAGTTTGAAAATGGAGGTAAAACAAAAGCCTAAGGAGAAAGAAATTGTAGACTTTTGTAGGGAAAGATTGCCACATTATATGATACCAAAGACTGTAATTTTCATGGATGAACTTCCAAAAACAGCAACTGGGAAGATTCAGAAATTTTCTCTAAGAGAGATTGCCAAGGGATTGGGGTCTTTACCTGCCAGTCGAATGTAAGCACTGAATCCCACATAAAATCTTTTTCATGTATAATTTGAAAGGTCTTTTTTTAATACATAGCTGAATCTTTCAGTCAAACAATGTTGAAATTCATTCAAAAAATGCAATTTGTTGTACTATTGTTTTACTTCTATTTCTAATTTTGTCTTGTATGTAAGCAAAATATCCCACATCTGTACGAGTGATTGATTTAATTCTTTGCAATATGAATTGACACTACAAAAGAGAATCTTTTATTTGTGATTTCTTTTGTCTAATTTAAATTAGCTACACTAAAGAGACTCTAGTTTCTCAAGCTGCTCTTATGTTCTGATATGAATAGTGTCAATGAAATTCATAAGGCATTCCTGCTTTCAAACTTTGGATCTTAACTTGGGTATGTGGCTCAAAATGCTTTCTCATATAAATTAATTACTCAAAGTTACAGTACAGACATACTATAAATTGCTTCAAATGTAGTTGAGACGATATAATTTGAGAAAAAAGAATGAGTTCCCTACTTACCATCTTACTTTTAGCGGGAGACCCTTTTTTTTTTTAATTAACAATGATGACCATCTTGTAGTCACTTCCACTAAATTCATTAAATATTTGCTACCTCGTTATCAGCATAAGTATCGGATAATTCTGTCTATCAAAACATAAACAAATAAAAAGAAATAACGTGGTATATTTTGCTTTTTATCGGGAAACTATAGACAATCGCAATATCAAATGGATGATCGATTAGTATTTCATCAGTCCGGTACCCAAAATACATATATATAACTGTCCTACTTGGTTCCTCCACAAAGTCATATATGTTTGGTCACTTAAAGACAAGTCTGGAAAGCCACCCTATAATTGGATTTTGATGTAATTGAGTGTACTTATACAGTTTTGACATGTTTGTCATAAAGCAATTACTTGGTCAATATGTAATTGGATGTAATTGAGGGGATGTAATTGCACTCTACAATTCAAGGAGAACTAAAAATTGGTGGTAATTACATGATGTGATTACGACGTTACTTTTTTGAATCTCTTTTCTTTTCTTTTTAATTTACTTTTTATTTCTATTCTTTTTTTTAGTTTTAAATTTTTTAATTTTTTTTTAAATTCGTTTTTTTTCAAATATATTTTTTTACATTATGTATTTTTATTTCTTTGTCTCTCATTACTAAAATTTACTTTACGTGTTGCTACATAATTTCTCATATTATATTTCTTTCTTAATTATTTTTTAATTTTTTAATTACACTTAGCTATGTTATTTTTCTAATTTTTCTAAAAAATTATAACTAGTAATCTTAGAAAGAACAAGTCATCCACAAACTTGACTTATAATGAGTGATATCATTAGAGTTGAACTTTGTTATTGGATGACATTATATGGAAACTTAGCTATAAAAATGATAGATTACTTTTTAATATTTATTTAATATTCTCATTTTTCAACCTTTATTTTTTGTGCTTCCTTGTAGTTGCTATTACTCTAGTTTTGAAACTATTTCTAGTATTAAAAATAATAAATCATTAATAAACTTAGCATATAATGTGTGATGTCATTAAAGTAGGATCTCATTGTTGAATGAGGTTATAGACTTGTGTTTTTCTTTTTATTTTTTTGAATTATAGTTACTTAAATTATGTTAAAACTTATTTTATGTTATGTTGTAATTTTATATAAGAGTATTATGTTTTTTTTTTAAATTTATGTTGCATTTTCGCTTCTATTTTATTTGCTTTAGTAGTATTCACTTATTAATTCAGATTGTATGCCATTATTTTCAGTTAGAATTGATAGATTATTTTTTCGTAAAATATTTGAGTAATGTTATGATATTATATTTATAAATATTAATTATTTTATCAAGCATGCAGTCCATGATGTTCTTACCAAATATGTACTCTTAATTTTTATAATTGACTAAAATAAAATATTATTAATTAGAAAAATCTATATCAAGTACTTTTGCAATATTATTTACAAATATATGAGTAGTAATTAATATATTTTCAAGAAACAATATCTATCATAAATGTCAAATTTAATATTATTTGTAAAGACATATATTTGTTAAATCTTAACTTTTAATTTTTAATAATTAAATTTATATTTAAAATTTGATTTAACTGTGTAATTACACTTGTGCAACCAAACAATATACTTGTAATTACTCTGTAGTTACATTATGACAAACAAAAAGGTCGACGTAATTACAATACTGTGTAATTACTAGGTTGTGTAATTACTACCCTAGTAATTATACCAATTACAATTAAATGACGGCTTTCCAAACAGACCCTAAAAGAAAATTTGCTCCCTTCGGTCTGTATTATCTAATTTTCAAGTTTTTGCGCACTCCTTAAAAAGAAATTTAATAGCTTTAATCATAAATTATTTGTCTAAGATACCATTTTCTCTCCTTAAACACCTTACTTAATTAATACTCTACTAATAATTTGAACAGTAAAGACAAATCTAGAAAAAAAATAATAAAAGAAACACTAGCTAAACTAGAGTTAGCAATGCAAATGGATGGAACCCATAATATTTATAATCAGTTAATCACTATGTAGATAAAGCGCGTATATATATATATATATATATATATATATATATATATATATATATATATATATATATACTCACTGCAAACTCTAGTTTAGTTATTTTTATTAAATTTTTTGCTACTATATTTTATTATTATGCATTTCGTGCATCCCTTATCTACTAAAGCTAAAGTTTCGATTTCAATATCTTCTTTTTTTATTCTTGCTAAAACTTTTATTGTACTAAATTTCTTATCTTCGATACATATAAGTGTATCATACTCTGTATTTACGGGTTCTTGATCTACAGTGGTTTTTGGTATTTCCTCTATTTTTTCCTTTATCCTTTTCAATCTTAAATAGTCTCTTTTCCAAATTATTTAGTCTACTTTCTGATATTGAATCTCTTAGATTTGTTGTATGACTACTCTCACTATTATCTACTTCTACTTTGGTTGTTAAATCTATGGTCAAAACATCTTCTATACATCTTGTACGTTCTTCTAAATAAACATAGTTTACATTTAGCCTTTCTACTAGGATACCATTTACATATGAAACATGGATTACTACCTAATCCCTTATTTCTTTCGAAATTATGCAATTTTTATGAAATATTCATAAGATTACTAAAATGTAGATATTCTAAATTTAAATCTTCTATATATTCTTCTTTCATTTATGAACCTTTCATTTTCTGAATCAGAAGAGTTGTCACAACTCGTTCAGCTAATTCTGTACTAATTACTGAGTATATACTTTCATTATCTGATATGTATTCATCTACGTTTATTAATATTTCTTTCAGTTCTTATACTAATTGAGAGTTCCTACTTATATCATTAACCCTCTTAGGACAAGTATTTGCTAAATTTTCTATACTCCCACATGCCTATCTCTGTCTAAATATGGCTTTTCGGCATGATTCTAATTTATTCAAGGACTACTACGTCTAAATTCAGTAGTATAATTTTAGTACTAAAATTATATTCTTCTCAGAGTATATGATAATAACATTCTTGTTATTTTCTATGTAAATCAAAACAATTATTTCGATTTTGTTCTAGGTAAATAAAATGTAATGCTAAGTCTATATTCAAGCTAATCTTGTATCTATATTTAATTCAAAATTCTTTTATATCTACCCTCAAACTTTGAGCAGATATTTCTATATTGTAGTTCGAGATATTAATTGGCATATATTATCGGAAATTTTTGAGTTAGTTTTTAATATAATGTAAAATCCTCCTATATATAAGTCTTGATATACCATGTGAATGACTTTTGCGGTGAGCATGACTGATAGCCTGTTTGGCTAAGCTTTTTTTGGGCCAAAAGTGCTTTTTTTAGTCAAAAGCATTTTTGGCCAAAAATTGAGGTGTTTTTTGGAAGGAAAAAAGTGCTTTTGAGGAGAAGCAGAAACAGTTTTGGAGAAGCAGAAAAAAGTAGCTTCTCTCCAAAAGCACTTTTCTGAGAAGCACTTTTGAGAAAAATACACTTAGAAGCAGTTTTCAAAAGCTTGGCCAAACACTAATTACTGCTCAAAAGTGCTTTTCAAATTAATTAGCAAACACAAACCGCTTCTCACCAAAAATACTTTTGAGAAAAACATTCTCAAAATAAGCTGATTTTAGAAGTTTGACCAAACGGGCTATATAGAGTACCACGGACTAGTGGTAATTCCAGTCGGTGTCTTTGACCCAGGCAATAATTCCCGACCGTGAAACATAAAAAGACGGAATGAGGCAATTAATAGAAGACCTATCCGTCTCTGAGGCTGCAACTACCACAATGTATGATGCATTTAAAGTTACAACCTCATATTTTCCTGTACTATGATATACTAGTATATTATCATACTCCTTCACCTCACTACCCTAAGACATGCCATATACGTGATCTTGAGCTTTAAGTAATGTACATTGAGCAAGCTAGCTAGCCAAAGGCTGTAAAGTTTTAATGAGGCCTTACTGTAGACTATATTTCAAGCAATTTTCAGCCTATTATGTCGCATGTGCGTTTCTTTTTAAAAGATAACGGTTCCAACGACTCACTTGGAGTAGTTAGTGTGTCTCTGCTATCGAGTGAAGGTGGGATGGTGGGGGAAAATTACACGAGCATATAGTAGGAGTAATACATTTCTAGAGGTCAGCAATTCTGACAAGATTGTTATCAACCTGTGTTCGAAAATAATTTCCCCAAGAAAAAAACAAAACATAAGCAGAAACAGAGTAGAAACGAAATAGATAAAAGTTTCGAGCCCAACAAAAAATTGTGTTTCTTTAAGGAATTTAATGCCCTCACTGTTGTCCAAGGTTATTGGATTAATCCCTCCCAGAATAGAACGGAACAACTATTCTGTAGTACCGGCAATGAAAATCACAGAACTTCATCGAACTCAACAAACGACAGTAAACCACACCTATGCTTACGTTTTGCTTTGGAAAAACAGTGCAGAAATGCAGAAGAGAGAGGGGAGAGTATGCAGATTTTCGGTGCTGGAAAATGAGGCAAAACCTA